ATTCCAGAATTTCGAGTTTTCTAGTTTTTGATAATTTCGGAATAATTCGATTTTCAGAATTCCCGAATAATGGAATTTTCAGATTTTCAAAAATTTTCCAAATTTGAAAATTTCGGAATTTTCAGATTTTTTGAATTCCTGAATTTCGAAAATTTTAAAATTTCTTAGTTTGTCGATTTTGGAAAGTTCGGAATTTTGTTCGAAATTCCACTGGGTATATGGGAAAACCCCGCACTGTCAACATTTAGTTCTGAAAGCATATATCCCCATTTCCCTTCGTCGTACCCCCGAAAAATGGTGAAAAATGATCAAGAAACTTCCGAAAACCGAAAAATGTAAAATGTAATTCCGCTCTAGACCCGCAAGCAAACTTTTCGTGTGCGCCTTAGACGTACTGTATCCCACAAATACCTTATTCTCCGAAAAAAATCGAAAGTATTCCAGTCGGAATTTTCCCGAAGACCCCTAAAAATCTCTCCTTCTCAATCACCCTGACTTCTTCCAGATAATGAGCTCAAACTCGGGAGCATCTCAAGAGGACATCGCCACCGCTCAGGGAGCAGTTCTCGTGAAATCATGCCAAGTACCCGATGGATCAATTCCTATTCGAGGCTTCGATTTCAACACACCCGATTTCTCGTTATCCGGAATACTAGCGTCGTACATGAGTACAGGGTTCCAGGCGTCGCACTTAGCTCAAGCCATTCAACAAGTTAATCAAATGTTGACACTTCGTGAAGTTCCGTTAGAATGTGATGAAGATGAAAAGAAGTTACCGTATCCAGAAGGACGAGACAAGAGATCGTGTACAATATTTCTAGGATACACATCGAATTTAGTGACAAGTGGTCTTCGAGAAGTCATTCGATTCTGTGTTCAACACGATCTTGTCGATTGTATTGTTACATCTGCGGGTGGCATTGAAGAGGATTTGATTAAATGTCTCAAGCCATCTTATCTTGGAGCATTTACAATGGATGGAAAAACTTTAAGATCGAATGGAATGAATCGTGCTGGAAATGTTCTGATTCCAAACGATAATTATTGTGCATTCGAGGACTGGCTAAATCCGATCCTTGATGAGTGTCTCGAGAAACAACAAAAGGAGAACTTCAATTGGACGCCGTCAAAACTGATTCAAGTTTTGGGAGAACGAATCAATGACGAATCTTCTATTCTCTACTGGGCTGCTAAACATAAAATTCCCGTTTTTTGTCCGGCACTGACCGATGGATCTTTAGGTAAAGAGCGCAGCGACGCGCCGAAGGCGTACCAGCTAGCTGAAGGTCCCACAACGACAACTACCGTAACCTAAAAATAGTTTTATTTTCTCGATTCTCACTGATTTTCGTCCAGTTTTCAGTTATTTTTCAACAGGAACGTCCGAAAATTAAATTTTTTGATAGTCGGAAACTGCACAAAAATCGAGAAAAAAAAGGATTTTTTCTTCGATTCTTTGCAAAATTTTTAGACCTTTTCAGGTTTTCCAGCTATTTTGAAGATTTCTTTTTCGATTTTTCCGATTTTTTTGTCTGAAATTTATAATGTTTTTGACGGAAGATTACTGTAGATTACTGTAGAAAGCCTTGTAGTTTGTAGTTTTTTGGGTGGTACCAGGGATGAGAACTCGGAAAATGAGAACTGCTACACATGAGAACTCGTACGAATAAGAACTCGGAGAGTACATGGCAAACACGGATTTTTTTTTGTAAAATCTTGAAGTATTGTGAAGAACGAGACCATTTCGAAAATATTTTTCAAAAAGGTTGGATCCCGAGCCTGAAATTAGATCCGGAA